TTACATTTCCCTCTTTGCCCCCAAGGCAAAGTTCTTTGCTCCACAGACCCTAAGTGCCCACTCACCTTTTCCCCCTCATCAATTCTTGATTCCCTCATCTTTCTAGACCCTCCGCTGACACCCCACCCCAAATATCTAAATTTCATTCCCTCCTCCAACTCTCCCCCCTCCAATCTGATATTCAATCTTTCATCATAATTTTTTTTGTTATCCTATAACCTTCTTTTTCCTGTAAACCTTAATTTTTTCTTTTGCAACCCAAACCCAAATTCATCCCAATCTCTGCAATTCTTTAAAATCCCCCAAGAGACAGTGTCATCAGCAAAGAGACTGTGACAACCCCCACTTTGTGGTGTTTTTATCTTTTAACCCCACCCTTGAAAACCCTCGCATTTACCCCTTTTACAACCCCATTAAAAAATTTTTAATTAAAAAACCCCGGGTGACATCACACACCTTGCAAAGGGGCCTTTTTTTACTGGGAAAAAATTTCCCTCTTTCCTACATACCTAATTTGACCCACTATCCTCGAAAAACTTTTCACTGCTTTCAGTAACCTACTCCTCCCTACCTTGCAACACGCCCTTGCCCCCCATCCCCCCTGTCTCCCTTTTCCAAACCCATAAATGCCAAAAAGACCTTTTTAGCCTACTAAACACGTTCATTATATGTTTCACTGTTGTAAATTAAAAATATGCAACTCTTGGGTATCTTTATTGGGGAAAACTTTTGCCACACGGGCTTCATCAGCCTACAAAGGAGAAACTTGAAAACAGGAGGAAAATGAGGTAATCGTCCCTAAACCCTTGAGTCATGTGTTCAGCCCAACAATTTTGATAGAATAGGGCATTCACGGAGAACAGCTTTTAAACCGTATGGCAGGAGGGTGCACATCATGGGGCTGTCACTTTTTGTTCAATTGGAAGTAGGTCGGCCCCAAGAATTGGCAACGAAGTTCCCCAAGTTTTAAGATCCCAAGAGTTGCAGGTCTGACAGATTTGTAATGAATGGTTCGAGAACCGACATTTTTGAAATTAGACACTATGCAACTTTTGGGGTATCTTTTTTGAGGAAACTTTTCGCCACTGGGTTCATCAGTCCATACGAGGGAAACTTGAAGAACAGGGGGAGAATGAGGTAATCAGTCCCCAAAAGAGTCTGTGTTCAGTCCACAATTTTGAATAGAAATTACGGTATAAGCGGAGAAGCAGCTTAAAAACCGTATGGCGGGAAAAGGGTGCAGCAGTCATAGGTGGTCACATTTGTTAAAATGTGGAAGTAGGTCTCCCCAAAAATTGGGAAAGCGAAAATTTCCTAAGTATTAAGATCCCAAGAAGTTGCAGTGTCTACAAAATTGTAGATAAATGGTTCGAGAACCGACATTTTTGATAAATTTAACACATCGACCAAAGGGTTGGGGCGTTTACCTCATTCTCCCCTGTTCTTCAATTTTCTCCTCATATGGACTATGAACCCACTGTGGGGCGAAAACGTTTCCTCAATAAAGATCCCAAAAGAGTTGCAATGTGTCAAATTTTACAACTGTCGGTTCTCAACCATTCTACAAAGTTTCACTGTAAACACCTGGCCCACACACCCTATTTCCCCAAAGCCTCCTTGTTCATCTGTTCCTATTCTCCGTCTTACTCTTAATTCTTTCAAAATAACTCTAATACATTTTACCCGGGTACACTCACAGACTTATCCCCTAAAATTTTTTTTGCACTCTCTTTTATCCCCTTTGCCTTTATACAAAGGAACTATCATGCTCTCTGCCAATCCCTAGGACATTACCCCCTTTCCCTAAATTTAAAATAATTGCCCCAAACCCCTCCAAACTTATCCCCACCCGCTTTTAAAAATTTTTATCTTTACCCATCAATCCGGTGCCTTACCCCCCTTTTTTTTTTACCTACTGCTCAAAATTCCCCCACCTCACAACTGGGTCTTCCTCACTCCTACAAGATTTATTCCTCCCTTTTCCATACACGAATCACAGCTTCCCCATCTTTATCAACATTTAACAAATTTCCCAAATATTCCCCATCTTCCCAATCCTCTAACTCCCATTTATAACTCTCCTCTCCTATTTTTAAGACAAATCCATTTTTTTCTAGGTTTCTTAACTTTTACTCCATCCAAAACTTTTTCTTTTTTCAACAAAATTTTTGAAAAAATCTCACCCACTTCTCATTTTCTCTTTTTACATTGCTTCACCACTCTCTTTAAACCTCTCTTTTCTCCCTTTTCTTCACCCTTGCTCACTTCTCTTTTTAAAAAATTCTCATATGCTAACTTTTTTCCCTTACTAATTTTTTCATCTCTTCCACCAATCGCTCCTCTTCCCTCCCCACCCCCTTTCTTGAACCACAAACTTTTGCTGAAAATCTAACACTAATTTTTAAAACCCCCCCATACCCCTTCGACCCCATTGCCTATGCTCTCATTAGCCCCTCTATCCTCCAATAGCTGTTTATATCTTTCCCTAACTGCCCCCTCTTTTTTGTTTATAAACCCTTTACCTTCTCTTCCCCGATACTTTATTCTCCTTGTTCCCATCTACCTTTTACTCTAGTGTGCTACAACTAGAAAGTGACTGATTTAATCTGGCCCCATAAACATGTACACCTGAAGTTTTCTCAACAGTCTTTTTTTTACCAATCATAATCCCAAACTACTGTCTTTTTTCCCCCCAAAAACATATCTTGTATACTTTTTTTATCCTTTTTCTTAAAAATGTATTACCTATAACTAAACCCCCCTTTTATACAAAATTCAATCAAAAGGGGTCCCCTTACATTTAACCTGGGACCCCAAAATTGCCTACCACACCCTCTCTAAAAGTTTTTCCTACTTTTTAGCATTTTTTTTTTAGGTCCCTACCACATTTCCTCTACTTGTTCAAAGGCTCCCAACATTCACTTTAAATTCCAAAATCTCTCTCTCTCCTCTGCATTCCTTCCCCCTCAGGGGCATACACGCTTATTATGACCCCCTTTTCGAATCCAACCTTTATTTAATCCCTAATTTTTGAATTTCACATTCATATTCTTTTTCTCCTTCCTAACTGATCATTTTAACATTACTGCTACCCCTTTTCCTTTTCTCTAACCTCTCAGATACCCAGATTTAATCCCATTTTTTCCCCCACTGAATTCCCCTTAGCTTTGTTTTGCTTAGGGGGGCCCGGACATCCAACTTTTTTCATTCATAACACACAATCATCTGTTTCTTGTCATCCGCACTACCCACGCACATTTAAAGCATCCCGTTTTATAAGTTTTTCTCTTCTTTTTTGTAATTGTTACAGGAGAAAGGGTTACTAGCCCATTGCTCCCGGCATTTTAGTCGCCTCATCGCACGCATGGCTTACGGAGGAAAGATTCTTTTCCACTTCCCCATGGACAATAGAAGAAATAAAGAGGAACAGAGCTATTTAGAAAAAGGAGAAAAACCTAGATGTATGTATATATATATGCATGTGCGTGTCTGTGAAGTGTGACCTAAGTGTAAGTAGGAGTAGCAAGATATCCCTGTTATCTAGCGTGTTTATGAGACAGAAAAAGAAAACAGCAATCCTACCATCATGCAAAACAGTTACAGGTTTCTGTTTCACAGTCATCTGGCAGGACAGTAGTACTTCCCTGCGTGGTTGCTGTCTACCAACCTACTACCATTTATATACATTATATACAGTACATAAATAATTAAAATATATAACAATATATAACAGGAGGGGTGTTAATGTTGCAGTTTAAAAACTGTAGTGTAAAGCACCCTTCTGGCAAGACAGTGATGGAGTGAATGATGGTGAAAGTTTTTCTTTTTCGGGCCACCCTGCCTTGGTGGGAATCGGCCAGTGTGATAATAAAAAAAAAAAATAACAATAGAAGTAAATTATGGTAAAAAGAATGAAATAATGATTATACATTACATTACAGTACTATGTAGGTAGTTTATATAGGAAAAGTTTGACATTAGGCCCTACCCAGTATGGCAGCAGTTTTCAAAGATTCGACTTACGTCCATTTTGACTTACGACCGGTTTGTCGGAACCAAGCTTGGTCGTAAGTCGGATGGTAGGTGTATTTTGGTCCACTGTATCGAATGCTTTCCATAGGTATATGAAGAGTCCTTGAGGATATTAATTTTTTTCAAGCACTGAGTAAAGCAGGTCTAGGTCAAATGCTACAATATTCCCCTGAACTAATCTGCTTGGACACTGTTTCTGCAACATTGCTAGCTGATTATGCATTGATTGCAACACGAAAGGCCTAGAGCTATTATTCAACTCTCCTGTTGTTGTTTTGCATCTTTATTACATCTTTTGTTTGTAATAATAGTTGGAATGAGTGATCATGGAGCTGTACTCTCGCACTAATGCACTAATTCTATTTACGCTAATTCTATCATTCGGAAAAATTGCCCATTCACTGTGCACTTTAGTGGCCATGACTACTTGCTAATGCATAAGGTGGCATAATTAAATCACAAATGAGTATTGTGCCTCAAATTTTTCTATGCATCTTGGTCCTAAATTTCTCTCTGAGGGTAAATCATAATTCAAAATTGTGGCAACTGAAGGGACTACTGTAACTGCAAATTCTAAATTTGAGGGCCTCTTTGGGCCTAATTATTGTGTATTAGATCTACTCATGGGAGGATGAGAAACAGTGTTCCTGGAGAGATGAGAGATGGCACCTTTTGGAGCAGACTGAGCTAGAATCAGAAGATTGATTTATCAACCCGGAAGACTATTTTATTGAACCCATGTTCCAATAAGTTGTTCTCTGGTGACATATATACTGATCTGCCTTTTATCAGTCTCAGAGATCTCCGTATGGCTACTCAAAAAGTTATTCCTCTGAAGATGTGTGTAAGCACATGAAAGCACTCAGGTTTTATTTCCTATCTTCACTCTGGTAATATTTTCATATTTTCAGTCGCACATTTTATTGTGATTTCTTCTATTGTTATTCAATCCTTTGTTGTCGTTACAGCCTGCCACACTCTGATAAAGTGTTCTCCGATGACAATTACTCCGACCATCCCTTTATCGATCCCAGGGAATTCGATGAGTCCTTCTCGTCAGTATTTGGCCAGATGGATGACATGTTTCACCAGCTGGATGCTATGATGAGAGGCTTCCATACCCCAGGCCAGATGATGATTACTGAAATACCCGGTGAGTGCTTTCTGCTTGGCGTTATAATTGTATCATGATTACCTTCCTGGTAACAGTCTTCAATTTCAAGTCTTATAAGACTGTTGTATCTTGGAGATTGGTCATCCTGTGATATTTAAGCGGGAGAATAATGACACAATACACCAATGCTTCACACGAGATGGGAAAATTCTTGTTAGGAAAACAAATGTAGGTCAACTGTACACAATAACGAACGAGAATGATCTATCACGATTTCTCAGGGATACTAATCTTACAGAGAATAACTAAACAATGTCCAACTTAAAAGCCTACGTAGTGTAGTGAATGTTTTGCTCCATTATTGTTCAAATTTCATTGTACAATCTCTTAGTAATTAAATAATCAACTACCTCATTTTGTGATTTTACTAGTAAGCATAAGTACCTTATGTAATTTTCTTTTTTAAACTATTGTTTGCTTAAACATTAGCTGAATTGATACTTTCTCTGTCCATTTTATTCCCTCATATTTTTTAAATACTATCAATTGATATTACTTACTAAAATTAATAATTATCATTTTTACTATAATTTAAATTTTACTCTTAACATTTTTGAGATTTAATAACCATTATTGTCTAATTACCTTTACCTTTTTTTATCCCAAACATTTACTATCTTAGAGTACTCTAATACCTTGTACTGCCTATAACCTCAAGTATAACTACCAGTGCAATTTTAAATGAAATAAACATTACTTTTCACTTTTTTAATCATTATTACTTACTAAAATTTTATTAAACGCCATATTTACTACAGTCAATTTTACTTTTTGTACATTAAACATTATTTTATACTTCCCATAACTTTTTGTTGCCAAATTTTCAAGTTTGTATATTAAACTCCAACCTTTATATTTATCCTTTGTACCTGTGTACCTGTCTACTATCTTACTATCATATTATAAACCAAGACATTGCCATTGTTATTTTTTTACTATTATTTTTTTGGTACTTTAATTGTAAATTTTTATTTTGTCAATTTAAATCTAGTTATACTCTTGATCTTGTCAACAACCTATACCGGGACTCTAGTGCAATTGCAAGTACCATTTCAATTTGTATTTTTATATTATAAGTTTTGTATTATTAATTCCTACTCTAAGATTGTTTTTCATATCTTAGCGACTTTTATTGTGTGTGCAATTAGTGTATATTTCAATTATATTATTGTTCAAGGCCTTAAACTATCTTTTGCTAACTAGTACCAACTCCTCATAATTTTTTTTTCTACTTTTTTTATTCTTTTGCTACCTTAACTTGCATATTTTATCTTGTCAATTTAAATTAGTTATCCCTCTAATTCTTGTAAACAACTTATATAACACCTTAGTGCAATTACAATTGAGAGTCTCGTCCCTTTTTTATATTATTAGATTAAACTCAGTTGTACTATACTCAATACCAAATTCATTATATTAGACCAATTGCAATTATAGTGAGAGACTGGTGCTATTTTTAATTTGTATTGTTATATTATTAGATTAAATCTAGTTGTACTATAGCTCATTCTAGCTCAAAACATAGACTCCAAAAAGTCATTATATTAGAACCTTAGTGCAATTATTTTTATTACCACTTTATTGTTCACCACAACTTATATTAGTCCCTTTTATATTATATTTTATATTATAATTCAACTTTAAAGAATTACCTTTAAAGTACTAACCTACTATTTATATTCCCAAGCTCCATTATTTGATCATCACTTTATTTGTTCCCACAAATTATTTTAGTCCCTTTTATATTGTCTCCTTTATTTTAGCTTTAAAAAAACTACCTTAGCTCATTATTTTTACATTTGTTAAATAATTCATGTGCTATTTTTTTTAGCTTTAGAATATTTACTTTATTTTTTACTTAATTCTAACTATTTGATTCACTACAAATCTTATGATTACAAGCATTGATCCTGTACCAACCTCTATTTAATGACTTAAATGATTCAAACAGTTTACTGTAATTACTACACAGCAGAACAATCAAAGGCACTTCTCAGAGCTAACAACAACATAACTATCTTAACTACAATATCAGATCTTAAGCAAGCATTATGATGACCCCCTAGCATTACTAAATTCCTTGCATGCCAATATGTCCATCATTACACTAACTGAAACCGGCTAAAGCCTGATACTACAGATGTCTATGCCAAATTTCCCGGTTTTCACAGCCATACACAACTGTAGGCAGACCCAACAAGGGGGGGGCACAGCTATATATCTACTCCCGAAACCAACTAGAATGTATCACTAATCTTGCACAAGGGATGAAAATGGGGAATATTAATAGCTAAATTCAAATCCCAAATACCTACAAAAACCTCTCACAGTGATAAACATCTACAGAGTTCCACAATCAAACATTAGCCAATTTAGTCAAAACCTAGGAAGTATGATAACTGATGCAGCATGAACAAAGATCACTTACTACTCTCAGGTGACTTCAATATAAATCTCCTGCAAGACCAGGACCCACGTTACTGAATTCCCCAAAACACAAAGAGTAACTGCATGTTGCTACCAACAGTAACAAAACCTACAAGAGTTAGGGAGACTATTGTTTCCCTACTTACCCCATCTGGACCAACACCATATCCCCTTTAAAATCAGCATAATTCAGATAATACACAGACCACTACCCTACTTCCCTCAAACAACTTGTAAAATACCCCAAGACACTTTCTAAAGTCACCTTCAGACTTCACAATGAGGCAGCCATTAATAAACTTCACAACAGCATAACAAACATTTGACTGCACACTGGCTGAAATCTATACAGATATTTACGAATGTTTTAATAATTTTCTAAAAAAGACCCAATACTTTATAACAAGCACTGCCCAAAAAACTAAACAGATGACAGCTAAGAGACTGAACAGCCTGGCTAACACCCAGCATTCTCAACCCATAAATACAAAACACGATTGAAAAACAGTACAGAATGGTCACATAAACAGGACCAAACAAAAAAGTTATCGTTTAATCCTACCACTGTAAGAAGAAAGAAAAAAAAATTAAAGAAAAGAAAACATAGGTGAATAAAAAGACATGGGAAATATCGAAAAGAACAAAAAAGATATCAACATAGAAATAAAATAGCAAAATCAGATAACCCCAACTCCCACCCAAAAAAGCAAACAACTCAATTGATTTCTTTCCAAATATAGGCAAACCTTGAATAAAACCAACCCGGAAACCCTACCAGAAATTCTTGGGCAAAAAAAGTATCCACAACCCCTAGGAAATAAAATTAAAAAAACAGATTTAACCCAACCCCCATCAAACAAAAAAGCTCAAAGAACTTCCCAATATTGGCAAAACCTTTAAAAATCCAAACTCCAATTCCCCACCAAAAAAGAATACCCCTCCAAAGGGGAACTACCAACCAAAATGAGTTGAATAACCATAGGAATTCCCTTTAAACCCTAAAATTCAAAAATTTTAAATACCTTACCACCCTATTATTCCAAAAAAACGTCCAATTATCACCAATAAAAAAAAAACTTTTAACAAATCTTGAACATATTCCCTCATTAAAAATACAAAGTCACCCACTAAGGGGGACCAAACAAACAAAACAAATTGAATAAATTGGCCCATAAATCCCAATTTAACACCCCTCACTCTCAATCTTTCGAAAAAAATTTAATAATTTAAACCCACCCACCCCAAAATTCTAACCCCTGCCAATTTGGGCAAACCTTTAATGTTTCATACTAATTGCTTTTCTTTTTTGCATAAACACGCTAAGAAAAAAAAATTGTCCCACTTGGGGACTTCATGACACGAAAGCATAATTTTAATTACATTAGGTTTTTCCCCTTTTTCAAATATGTTTAAGGGACTTTCTAATTCCTTTTAAGTCACCATAAGTCAAAAAAAACCATTGTAAAAGGGGTGGGTTTGGGGGACTAAAGCCGGAACCAAGGGAGTAACCCCACCTCCTGCAATTACTGGAAAAAAAAACTTTAACTGGGGTTCTTTGCTATGATGGTAAAAAAAGGGATTGCTGGTTATTTTTTCCCGTCCCCCAAAAAGGGGGAAGATAAAAATAAAATTTTATCTATATTTGGAATTAAGAAGCAAAGGAATATTATTTAATAATTGGGTTTTTATCCTTTTTCTAAAAGGCTTGATTTTTTTATTATTTATTGTAGGGGAAGTGGAAAGTCTTTTTATAATTAGCACTGGTGGAAGAGGGAATCAATGGGGGGAGAAATGGGTGTTTAACCTTTCCGTATAAATTACTAAAAAAAGAAAAAGAAAACTTTTTAAAAAACTGGGTTGCTTAAATGTGCGTGGATGTAGTGCGGATGACAAGAAACAGATGATTGCTGATGTTATAAAATGAAAAGAAGTTGGATGTCCTGGCCCTAAGCGAAACAAAGCTGAAGGGGGTAGGAGAGTTTCAGTGGGGGGAAATAAATGGGATTAAATCTGGAGTATCTGAGAGAGTTAGAGCAAAGGAAGGGGTAGCATAATGTTAAATGATCAGTTATGGAAGGAGAAAAGAGAATATGAATGTGTAAATTCAAGAATTATGTGGATTAAAGAAAAGGTTGGATGCGAGAAGTGGTCATAATAAGCGTTTTATGCACCTGGAGAAGAGAGGAATGCAGAGGAGAGAGAGAGATTTTGGGAGATGTTAAGTGAATGTATAGGAGCCTTTGAACCAAGTGAGAGAGTAATTGTGGTAGGGGACTTAAATTTGCTAAAGTAGGAGAACTTTTAGGAGGGTGTGGTAGGTAAGTTTGGGGTGCCAGGTGTAAATGATAATGGGAGCCCTTTGATTGAACTTTGTATAGAAAGGGGTTTAGTTTATAGGTAATACATATTTTAAGAAAAAAAAGGATAAATAAGTATACACGATATGATGTAGGGCGAAATGACAGTAGTTTGTTGGATTATGTATTGGTAGATAAAGACTGTTGAGTAGACTTCAGGATGTACATGTTTATAGAGGGGCCCAGATATATCAGATCACTTTCTAGTTGTAGCTACACTGAGAGTAAAAGGTAAAATGGGATACAAG